TTACAGATAGCCAAAAAGATACTGAGAGTCCCTTTAACTTCCTCTGGCTCACGCAGAATTAATTCATGGGTACTGAACAAGAATACACTTAGAGGTGGAGTTAGCCTCAATTTCATTGGTCAGCATGATGCAAAGTCAGGGATATCAGTAAGTCACTACAAGTAAAGGCCATATTTTCATAATATTGCTCATAGTTTTTGATATAGACCAAACATGTTAGCTATCATAATGATTCCCCATGCCAATGTTATAAATGATTCTACTGCATTAAATGTTTTTAGGGAGTACATTCAAATTAGCATTATTATGAGTTATGTGCTTGTTTCTCCCTGAAGTCATATGTTGAAATCCTAACCCTCATGTGACAGTTTTGGAAAGTAATGAGGTCATGAGGGTGGAATCCTCAAGAATGGGATTAGTACTTTTATAAGAAGAGACACACAGAATTCTTCCTTTTGCCCTCTGCCCTGTGAGGATGCAACAGGGCTGAAAACCAGAAAAGTGGCCCTCTTCAGACACTGGATCTACCAGCACTATAATCTTGGACTTCCCATTCTCCAGAACTGTAAGAAATAAATGTTTGTTGTTTAACCCATTGGTCTATTGAAGATTTATTAAGCCAAATCTTAACAAAACCTGATAACCTTAACAAAACCTGATAAGACAAGTATCTGCCTAAATTCTTAAATCTGGTGCCAAATTGTGAACAATGGGTAATGTTATACATATAACATTTGCACATAGTTGAATTCCAATTCTTGCTTTGCAAATTCCTTTGACTGTATTATTTGTAGTACCCAAACTGTTGCAGGTAACCATTACTTTATGTTCTTGCTGTTACCTGAAACTGTTGTTTTACCCAGAAACCATTTTTCCTTTCAGTTCCTTGTAGCATAGGCTGTTTTCTCACATATCTAACTGTGAACCATGGTAGCCAGGAGCTAATACTGGTTTCCTCTTAGCTCTCTTCTGTTGATTTTAGGCTACTGTACTTCCAAAGCACTTCTCCTTACTTGTTTTGACAACTGGCTCTAACACCCTCTACTTATCTTTGTGGCGGCCACCTACCTTTGGACCTCATGGGTACTCTAACACTATGGTTCTCAATGTCAACTGCAAATTAAAATCACTTAGAAAACTCTGGTTCCATTCTAGATCAATTAAATCAAATCTGCAGGGTGTGGTGATGGTCACCAATATTCAGTTTTTTAATTTCTTAGGTGACTGCAACAAGAGCCAAGGATGAGACCTGTACTCTACCACAATAATTAAGGACATTGGCTCCTACTTCATCAGTTTACTCTATAAACCAATTTTTGCTATCACCTGGAATTTTAATGTTGAAGAGAACAAACTGTCTGATACTCTGGGTCATAGTTCCTGAACCAGCTCAATGTTATTAATGTGTCCTTAATTTCACTTCAGTTCTTATGCACACTCTATCAGTCATTACCTGGAGTACTTGATACATGAAATATTAAATAAGCAAGAGAGTTTCTGGCCTTAAACACTATAGTTGCTCCAGCTTGCTAAGTCCCTTACCGTACACTTCTATGCCTCCACTTGGACATGGACAGCTTATTGCAAACTTGCAAGGAACCTAGCTTTCTAAGTGTGTCAATCTTCTCTTGATTCTCCATCTTCTTTAATCTGGCTGATCCTCCATGGTATATCACTCCAATGGCTCTTACCAAGGCTATCACATCTCTTACCCTCTTGTTCCTCTAACATACATACAAGTTCAAATCTTTCAAACTGAATTTACCTTTTCCACTGCTATGCCCAAGATACTGAGCACCACTGAAGAAAAAAATACAACTAGGGGGGACAGGGTGTAGTGCAGTGGTAGAGAGCTTGCCTAGCATGTATGAGACACTGGGTTTGATCCTCAGTACCACACAAAAATGAATAAATAAAATAAAGGTACTGTGTCCATATACAACCAAAAAAACTTAGGAAAAAGGAAAACATTTTTTTAAAAAATGCAACTACAGAGATTTGTGGAACCTACATTTTCATGGTATCCCAATAGCAGTTACCAGAATTACTGAGAAATCTTTTTACATTTCCCAAATGAACTCTTGCTCCTACTTTTCTTGGAGGGATTCAAATAGTCTCTTTTTAATCTCACTCTTTTGCTCCTCACATTAGATGTGGACCTTGATTTCTGTTTTGGAAAGCATAAAGATATTCTTTCTATACTTCAACTATATCAACTTATTTTCATTCTCATCCACACTTACTTGCCTTAGAAGGGTATTGCTCTAAGCTCAGCACTGCTGTCATTTTTTTTGGCAGATAATTCTTTGTTGAAGGGGGCTGTCCTCTGCACTCTAAAAGGTTTAGCAACATTATTTACGGTAGCTCCTCTGATAGCTCCATGGCTGGGGGTATCAAACTAGTATGTACAAAGGGTCTAGATTTGACTCTGAGAGGTCTCTACCTACTAGATGCCAGTAATATCCCCCTCCTTCTAGGTGAAATAACAAAAAATGTCATCAAACATTGCCAAATAATGTCTATTGGGAGGCAAAATCACCATTATGTGAGAACCACTCTTCTACGTCAAGGCTCATCTATACATCTCTTTCTGATTAAAAAACAAAACAACAACAACAAAAAACCTTCCCACTTCCTCACTTGTACCATTGATGTGTTTTATGGGTCTTGAACCTGTCCATTGGCTTTGTCTCCTTAGTATATAATTTTATATGTCTCTCCAATATTAAAAAAAAAAAAAAATCATTCCTGGACACCAGGTCACTCCTCCAGCCACTCTTCCAATCCTTTTTTATTCTTTTAAGTGACATGTTGAGAATGACATTCATGAGTTCCCTTGCTGAGGCACCATTCAATTTTTAATTTACCCTTAATCCTCATTACTGCACTGATACTGATGCAAAGCTACTAGGATCCTTTTGATTACCAAATGCTTAGGTAACTTTCCTGCTTGGCTACTTATGACTATATTCTCCTTGAACTTTTCTCTCCTAGCTTTTCATTCTTTAACTATTTTTTAAAATATTTTTTTTCTTAATATTTCCTTTTTTTTTTGGACTTCCTTAATACTAGTGTTCAATTGGGTTTTATTCTTGGCTGTCTGTTAGAACTTGACAACACTCTTCTGAGCTACAGTCTCTGTTACAAGCTTCTATCTACTGATATAATACAATGAATACACTAATTTCTCTTCATCTAATTTTGAATCTCAATCCTCTCTCAAAATTCAATCCTGCATTTCTGACCCTTGATGAATACTTCTATCAGGGAGCACTATAGACACTAATAAATTGAGATGTCTAAAACTGAGCTTATCTCCTACTACTCACCATCCCTTGTCTCTATCTCCCCAAATCTTCCTAGTCACTTCATAATTCCTACAGTACCACCATCTATTCAGCTGTATAATAAGCTAGGGTTCTTAGAAAAATCCAACATTCCTTCATTAATCATATTCACTGAACCATAAAATTCTGCCAATTATACCTTATTTCCCTATTCCTCTATCCCCACTAGTTCAGCATTGCACATTTTATTTCTATGGATTCCTAGTTTCCTTGCACTAGGTCTTATCCAAATACTATTCTGTCACTAGAACAATTCCTACCCCCGCCCCCAGTGCTACAGATCCAACCCAGGGATTCACACAGGTAAGCGCTCTGCCACTGAGCTACATGCGGCAGGCCCTAAAATGATCTCTTTAACATGCAAATCCTTACAAACCACTCCCTGAGTTATCTCTTTCAAGGAATTCCCTTTGGAGAATAAAATTAAAGCATTTTAGCACAATACAATAAGCTCTCAATGGCCTGGTTCCTGCATTTCTCTTCTCTCTCCATTAGATACATGTTCCATGTTCCCCAGACCTAATCATTAAAAATCATCACGGAAGTAAGGTATGTGCAAAAAAAAATTTTTTTTTACCCTCAAATGTGTTTTCTAAGTTCATCTACATAGAATATAGTTTTTCATCTTAAAAGCCTCAAGTCAAGCACTTGAACTCGCATTGTGCACACAGTCTCATTACAGTTCCCAGTCTGTTGGAATTTCTTGCTCACTCATGTCTCACCCACTTGCCTGAAGGGCAAGTGTCTTGTCTACTCACTCCTGTTTTGGTGGGGACTAAAAATATTTGTCCTGGAAGTAGGAGCTCAATAAATACAGGTTAAATGGCTGAATGGTACATGACAGGTTCAAAAGAACTTTATCATGATATTGTAATGTTATGTTTCTTGACCAATATTTGTTTAAAAAAAAAAAAGTACATGTCAGTTCACCAGAGTTAAGAAATAGCGAGGCTACTCAATCAAGAGCTACTGTCACTTAGGCAAGAGCTACTGTCACTTAATAAAACAAGTTTAATATATATATATATAATGGTACAGTGCTTGTTAAACCTTTCACTGAAGTATAACTAACATCGAAAGAAGAGTGACTGATGTCTCTGAGGAATCTGATGGCACAGACAAAACAAAACAACAACAACAAAAAAGAAATAACCCACATTTCTATGGCTGATAATACATCCACATTCATTTTAACTTGAAAGTGTTTTAGATTACTGGCAAGTAAAAGAAATACTCCATAAAGACAGAACACATTTATTGTGTGGACTCCAGTGACCTTTAGCATAAATGTGTACCTCCCAGGTGGAGCTGACAGTAGCACCAATTATCAAATTTGAAGAAACAAATATAGAGTGGAAATAGCAGCACACTTAATGTCACAAGTTCTACTGTGGGGTCTCGTCCTATCACTTAGACCGTGACTTGGGGTGTGGGGGGGTCTACTTTATTTTCTCTGAGCCTCCTCAGTTTCCTTATCTGGAAAATGGCTATAACAACATTTGCCTTATGTATTTCATAATGTTGGTGCCAAGATCAAAAGAAATAATGTAAACAATGAAGGATTATAAGCATGAAAATATAGAAACATTTTATGCATAGAGAGTGAAAAAATTAACATACATATACAATACTTGAATTCTTTAAAACAATTACCTTTTGAGGAGCTGAAAGCTTTTCTGTTTTGGTTTTTTCCTTGGGGGTTAAAGGAGGGGAGCGCTCCTTTATCTCTGGAGGCAGTTCTTGATATAGTGCTGGAAGTGAAAAAGGAATTTATGTATTTATATTGAGAAGCACTATTTGGGGGAGGGTTATAGTAACAGAGGAAGCATATATGAAATTAAAGAGGAATTAATGTTCAATTCCTTGGTATAGCAACACGCTATATAGCACTTATTCATGATGGAAATTTGTTGTCTTAAACATTAATTATTATTGGACAATTTTAATCAGCAGGATTTCAGAAACGTAGATGGTACCATTCTCACTTACTATATGGTAAGAGAGATGCTTACTTCATTTTATCTCAATCCCCAATCACCAGGAACCTACTGTAAGCAAGGTTGTCTGCTAGGTACTGCCGGAGATAGAAAGATGATCAAAAGACAGTTTTTGCTCTCAAGGAGCTTATAATCTGGTCAGGGACAGACATGTTCACAAGTAACTACAATATAAGATACAATGTGGTATTACTTGAAAGAGAATAACAACAAAACAAAGTAATGTGGGGATGAAAAAATGCTGAAAGGAAGATGTGGGAGTGTGATGGACTTTGAGTAGGCAGGTTTCACCAGGCAAAGGTACAGGAAAAGGATAATTTGGGAAGATAGAATTCATTTCATTAATGAAGAAGCATGGTTCCAGGACTATCATGATGTTGAATCTATACAGTGTTGAACTTTAGAGTTTTAAATATACTACTCTACTCTATATGATCTATTAAATCTATACAGGATATTAAACCTACAGAGAGCTATACAGGAATTTTAAAGACTTAAAACAAAACTCTATTTTGGTTAAAAGCAACTCTGAAGTGAAAGAAAATGCTAAACTATATTTGATCAAAAATGTACAACTAAGATTGTAAGATATATTAGCTGGCTTTAGATATGGGTTGGTATTATTATTGGGTTTCTTTATCTCTTACAGAAAAGAGTGTTAGATGTGATTAAGGGAAGCTGATCTTGTTCTTCTTTCCAGTGACTTAAGATACAAAGAGAGTAAGTCCTTTACAATAATGGGGTACCATTTTCTGTCATTGTGCTGTTCTCTTAAAGAACATGGTTCTCAATTGAACAGCAGGTATAGATTCTGTTAATATATATACTCCTTTAGATCATTTGTTTTGCATATTTGGCTTCAGATAAAGATCAGGAATAATTCCTCTTACTATTTTTAGAGTGGAATATGCTGCTGAGAAACATTTTTTTTTCCTTGAGTGTAAAAACCAGGCAGTTCAGTTTTTGTTAAATTCAAGTAAAAAGCAGGATAAAAGGGAAAAGAAAATTCTCTTCTGATGAAGTATGAGAATTCAATTATTATATTCTTGGGTAGTCTGAAAGTTTTCTTCCCTGTTTGTTCTGGCCTTTACAGTGCTCATCCAAGAAGCAATGACCGATGCCAAAACAAAAAAAAAAAAACCCAAAAACCCAAAAAACAAAAACTCCACCATCAATTATTCTGGGACATAATAAGGAGTTTTATCAGTTGCAGAATGGTCTCAAGATAAGAAATTAATTCTGTGTACAACCACCAACCATCATTGTAATATGTTTCAGAGATTTGACTTGATTATTATGAAAGAAAAACAAATTTTATAACTCACTGTAGATCAAATATCTATAACCTGTCAGGACTTGCAAGCCTAAGAGTTATTTCTATAAACTGAAGTTAAAACACCTAATACCACCATCCCCCAAAGGCACACAATCTTCATATATTGCCAGATGAAAAAAAAGGTGTAGATGTTTTCACTTGAATCTTACAGGAACAATGGATTGTAAGACCTAGTTAAAATTACCAAATCCTCCAGAGTAGTTATGATTGTGTGGCAGCTCTTGATTTTTAGCTACCCCTTTTTAACCTTGGCTGTTGATTCTGTGCAAGAGCCATCACTGGAAAGGAGAGAAAGGCTAGCATGGATATTTTTACATTCTGAAAGTTAGAAATACTGAGCTTTTGGGAGATGACTTAAATGCTATCTTACATGTACTCAGGAATTAGCTTGTCCTAACATTTCTCCCTTCCTCTCAGATCATTTTAAGTTTTCTCCATTATGTATTTTAAACATAAAAATATACCTCTAGGAAAAGTATATTTAAGAGGTATCAGTCATTTGTTATTTAGGAAAAAATAATTAAAACAGTGGCACAGAAAAAATTATGAATTATGTTGCAAGAGAGAGAAGTAGGTAATTTGGATATATATGCTTTCTCCACACTGCAAGTTAACTACTGATAGGAAGAATATATATATCTTTTTAAAGGGAAGGAGTTTGCTGAAGGCAGCAGATAAGCTGGGGAAAGGATCTGCAATGAGACTTGGGGCCACTTGAGAAAATGGGGAGAGGGGCATGGGGAAGGAGGGCACAGACACAGTACTATCAAGGTGCCAAAGATAGTTTTATCTAGAATTAGACCAGCACTCACTAATTAAGGAGGAAACAAATTCTTCTTCCTCCCATCTGTTTTGCTCTCAAAATTCAGAACTTAGGTTAGGAATCAATAGTACCTTTGTTCAGTCATGGTTTGAGTTAGATGGGGTTTCATAGACTAGCCTGAAAACCAACCATTATTTATAACAATTACTTCTTTGTGGTAACAAAAGACTTAACAAAAAATATTTAAACAGAGTGTTCTCAATTTACTACATTTTAAATCAAAATCATATGATTTTAGTGTTTCTGGAAGAAAATTAGAATTTATATAGCTCAATGTCTTTCTTTCACAGGAGGAAACTGAGGCACCTCATTGTAACTTGCTGAGCTAGGATTAGAAGGCAATCTTCATGGTCCCTGGCAATTGTGCTTTCTCCACACTGCAAGTTAACTACTGATAGGAAGAATTCTTTTGAAGAAGTATTACCATAATTTTTTCCTTTTTAAAAAAATTATTTCCTTTATTTTCAGGCTTTGTTAGTTCTATTTTCACCTCTCAAGGCCTGGCTGTGAATCTACAGCGTTCAGAATTCATATTTAGAATTTCTTTTCTAGTTGATTTTTTTCCTTTCACAAGCAAAGGCTTAATATACTTGAGATGGAACAATCTATTGTACTTTTGTTTTAGCAGGTGACCAGTTAGGACTGAAGTGTGCAAAGTGGGAGTTGGGGAACTAAGGGTTCTTAGGATGCTCATCAGCTGAGGAGTCACTGTGGAGAGAGAAGAGGTGATGAAAATGTTTGTAGTTGGTGGCAGGGTAAAAGGAACTAAGGGAGAAAGCTGAAGTCACAGGGCAAGTCCCCTGGGATGACAAGTACAATCAGCAAACATTCCAGTTGCAGAATACAGTAGTTTGGGGGCATGCTAGTGCCTCCTCTTTTTGTTTTTTTACATCATGAGTATGAAAAGAAAAACCCATTGGTAAACATGCAAAGATTACAAAGACAGTAAATTAAAGGGTAAAAAATGATAAGATCTTGGACTATCAGTTAGACCATATTAGTAAACCAGGAAGGGAGCATAAAACTTACTTTCACTAGCCACATGATTAGCTGGAAAATAACCTTCCTGTCCCTTTCCTACGCTGCCATACCACCAGTCTTCATTATCTTTGAAAAACACTCGGATAATGTCTCCGCGATGGATGGTTAGTTCATCTGATCGGCTCGCTGTATAGTCATAAAGAGCCACTACCTAAGAGAGAGATAAGACCACCACAGCTTTATCACAACTGTGCCACAGAGAAACCCCCAACACTCACTTCCTGTTGCAGTAGAGCAGCTGAAACCAAAGCAGTACTTGGGTAAGTCTGAGGCTGTCTCAGGGTTTGCTAATGGAACCAGGGGTGGTGGGAAGACAGCAGGAGCAACAAGATAAAAGACTGTGGGACTGAGAAATGGTTAAGAACATTCAACACACTAAGATTAGCTTCAAAATAGCAGATGTTAATTTTTTAAAGTAAATTACTTGAGAAGCAAATACAAAAAAGCTCACACGCCATTCACTTTCTTAGAAGTGTTTTATACTACACCTTTAGATCCTGTTCTCTGTGTAAGCAGATGCACCTGAAAGAAAATTCTCCAGAAGGTTAACAGTTTCACAAAAAGGAAAAGCTCAATGGAATAATCTGATTGTACAACTTCATTGTGATAACTAGTTTATTGTTAATGTCTCTTTTTGAGATAAGTTTCTCTAGAAACACATAGTTTTTGGTGTTTTTTGTAAACAATCTAAATCTTCTGACTATCTTTGAAAATATCCTCTAAGCTTACTTTCACTTTCACTAGGTCCAAATTTAAAAGAAAAGGGCTTTTTGTGTTTTATAGTAATCATTATATATATATATATACACACACACACACCCTTTTGAAAAACTCAAGTCAAAAGGTATGGAAGTGGCTGCATAAGCATTTAAAAATCCCTCATAGCAGTTAAAGGAAGGGAGATTTTAATCTGTATTAGATCTGAAGTATTGTATAAAGTAAGACATAATAATAAGTATTCCGAAGAATACACTTATTCTACTGTTTTTTTTCCCCTCTACTTTAAAAGGGTTTGAAAATGTACAGGTTACACAACTTTATTGAAATGGAAAAAATCATTGTAATCCTTTGCAAGTAGATTGAGTGCTGATTCATTCACTTAACAACTACTGAAATCCTAATGTGCCTGGTGCTATATTAAGTACACATGGTAAATAGATATCCTGTAGATATTTCTACAAGAGATATTTGATTAAGACTTTGCAGGAAAACTAAAGGATAATCAGGAATTAGCCAGGTACAGAGGGAAAGTGTATCTCAGTCAGATTATACCACATGTATAAGAGTCCCGTAAAAAGAAACTCAAAATAGTTCAGTATAAGGGGAGCCAAGCATTGTGGGTGAGAGCCAAGAGAGTAGGGTGGGGGAAGTTAGGGTAATGGAGGAAGTAGGGGTCAGATCATGCATGGTGAAGGAATTCAGACTCAATAATATGGCCAATGGAAAGATGGAAGGGTTTTCAGCAGAGGATTCTATTAGTGTTTACAAAACAGTTCTGGTACCTTTAAACATATTCAGTAAGATTTATTAACATATCAACAGGCAATTTTAATGTATCATGTTTGGAATTAACTTGTCACTATATGGTAAAGGGCAGTAACAATAATCTAAATGGTTCAAATGCAACGCCTATTGTACTGCCTAGCATAGTACTTAATTTACAACATGCAGTGCAGGATGTTAAGGTTTATAAATTTCTTATGTTGACGCTAAACCACTTATGTAAAAGTAGAAACTTTAATTTCCCCCTTTTTCTTCTTTCTCCAGACATTGTCTTCTTCATTCTCCTACTTGGCACTATCATGGAAGAGAAAAACTAATTAAATACAATTGTATGTCTACCATGTTCTGGACAGCATAGTAGGTACTTGTGTGTTACATTACTGAGCCTACATGAAAATGCTGTGAGGGCAGATATTCTTATTTTCATTGGACATATGAGGAATTTGAAGTACAAATAATTTAATAACTGGTAAATTAAGGTCAAATAAACTAGCAAGTCAAATAAACTAGTCAGTGGTAGGATCAGAACTTATAACCTAGATTTTTCTTTTTCTTTGTTTTCAGAAGACCAAACACATTTATAGGCCATCTTTGTCTAGAATCATCTACGGGGAGAAAGAAGCAAAGAGGAAAGGAGGTTAAAATACATTTCTGGATAGCGGCACATAAGGAGTTTCCTATGCCAAGAACACCAAGTGTCCTGGATCACCTGCAGGCCCATTGTGCCCCTTTCATGATGCACAAAACCCCAATCTCAGGAAACTCTATAATGGTTTGTTCCTATTGTTCCTCATCCCAGTTCTGCCACACCGAGATACCACAACCTTAATGAGTCTTACTTATGCAAAAACAAGATCAATGTATGCTTATTTATTTGAGTCCTAGTTGACTATTGAAAAGGCAGTCAGTGTATGCATTAGAATCACTTAGGAAGCCTCACATCAGGCTTGTCCCTGTGTGGACTACTAGCAATCTGGAGCTCTTCAAACTGAAGTTTGGAAAATCTTACTGGATTTTCCATGAGGGTCTGTTCATTAAAGAATCCCTTCAGAGTTACAAGGGTCCATAAGACCTTGTATAAGATCCCACACCATTTTTCCTATTACAGTATCCACTGATTACTGTATCCTCTTCTTAAATAACGAAATATAGCACGTCAAGTCACATGGCCTGCCAGTACTTATCAATATGTTCTATACTCTATGAATGTTATGGACTGAATTATGCCCTCAAAATTCTTAGGTTGAAACCATAACACCCAATGTGACTGTATTTGAACATACGACCTTTAAGGAAGCAATTATGGTTGAATGAGGTCATAAGGGTAAATCCCTCATCAATAGGACTAGTGTTTTTATAAGTAAAGAAAGAGACACCAGGAGCATATATGACAGGGAAAAAAGGCCATGTGAGGATATAATGAGAAGGTGACTGTCTACAAACCAAGACAGGCCTCAGGAGAAGTCAATACTGTCAGCATCTTGATCTTGGACTTCTAGCTCCAAGACTGTGAGAAAGAAAATGTCTATTGTTTAAGTCATCCAGTCTATGGTGTTTGGGGGTACGGTAGCCCCAAGCAGACTAGTGCAGTCCCACAAACTAATGGTAATAGATGAATTCCTGACCATCATCCTGTCTTGGAACTACAAATATCCTGATGTGGAAACAATACTTTTGTCATCAAACCCCACAACCAGCAATCTTGGGAGGGTGATGGGAGGTAAGGACACATTCTCTAGAATACTAGAAAAATCTGTGGAGCGTGTCTCCATCATACCTTTATTGATATTTAAGTATGGAATTGCTACACAACAAGGAATCAGCATTAATGTGCCAGTCATCCACATTTTGGCACTGTGATTTGACCATTTGGCTATGACTATTTTCTTAACATACCGGAAACATAAGACAAAAAACACATGGCTTGAAAATCTGCTTGTGTTCTAGTGTGTGTTTCTATGCACTGTGCTTTTATCTTCTTGTGTGAAAACCACTTGTTCTTTTCTGATAGTCATATTTTACATAGCAAACTTCATTATTTGTCTTAATTTGGCAGTAGATTCTGTATAAATCATGACCTTTCCATCTATAATTAGATTTTATTATGTTTCTGATACTGTAAAACTCTTTTTAAAAAGTTGGGAAGCATAGTCCCATCAAGCGGTTTGTTTTTGAATTAACGCTAGCTTTATCTTGTCCTTGTTCTGTCAAGCCTTACTACAGAAAATGTCTTGGCCATTCTCCTGATAAGTATGTTCTGTAATGTACCATTTCTTCCCCATAGTGGTTGGCATGTCGGTAGGACAGAATTATCCTCAGCAATATGATCTTCCTCTTGAGCTGACAAGATAGTTTTGAAATCATTCTGTGTAAAAGTTTAAACACATGAACTAATATGTCCACGTCAGTAATAACAGAACTGGGAAATGAGATATTTCACAAAATCCACTTTGTTTACATACAGAGATCCTTGATTTATATTAGGATTATATTCTAATAAGCCCATAAATTGAAAATATATTTAACACCTAATCTATCAAACATCATTGCTTATCCTACTCTACCTTAAATGGACTAAAGCATAATTACATTAACCTAAAGTTGGGAAAAATCATCTAACATAAGACCTATTTTATAACAAAATCTTGAATATCTTAAGTAATATATTAAATATTGTACTGAAAGCAAAAAACAAAATAGTCATATGGGTACTGTTTCAACACCATCCTAAAGTTAAACCATTCTAATTGGGGACTATATGTGCTTGGATTCTCTTTCTTAAAGCCAAGTTGCAAGAACACAATCATGGCTAAGTGCTTCCTTGCCCTTCTACCCTATGAAGATACAGAGAAAAGGTGTCATCTGTAACTAGGAAACTGACCCTCACTAGACATAGAATCTGCTAGCACCCTGATCTCAGAATTCCTAGCCTCTAAAACTGTAGGAAGTTTCTGTTGTTTATAAGTCACTTGGTCTATGGTATTTTGTTACAGTAGCTCAAATATAATTGGTACCAATTAAACCTTTTCTTACTGGATATCACAACTCACATACTTTGTTATAGTGAATCTTCAGTGTTTTATTGAAAAGGTTCTAATAAAAATTTTATTTTTTATTGTAGATTAGTGGGGTTTACTGTGATATTCCATATATGCCTATATCATGATTTAATCATGTACATGCAGCCGTCTTTACCCTTGCTCTCCTTCCCAATCCTTAGTCATCCCTCTTCTCCTTTAAGGTTAACTTTTTTTACTCATTGTTTCTTTTAGTTCCCACATATTCTTAAGAATACTTAACTTTCTGTACTGGTTTATTATGTTTAATGTGATGTCTTGATGTTTCCCTGATATTGCTCAGGGAGTAGGGTGGGGTCATGTTGGGCACCTTGATCTCGGAATTCTTAGCCTCTAAAACTGTAAGAAGTTTCTGTATCATTCATTTTACTGCAAACAACAGAATTTCACTCTTTTTATGGCTAGATAATACTTCAGTGTGTGTGTCTGTGTGTACACATACACATATCTCTACTCCTATGTATCTATTTATATCACATTTTCTTTATTCATTCATCTGTTGATAGGTAGCTAAGTTGATTACATAGCTGTTGTACATAGTGCTGTAATAAATATGGACATTTGGTATCTT